TCTAGGACATATAAAGAATTTTTAAAAATCAGGCCTCCCACATTCAAAGACCCAATCCAAAATTGGGCATCTGAGATGAATACACCCTTCTCTAATGATGAGATACTAATGGCAAATAAATACCTGAAAAAATGTTCAACGTTCATTAGTCATTTGAGAAATGCAAATTGAAACAACACTGAGATTCCATCTCACCCCAGAAAGAATGGCTATCATCAAGCAATCAACCAATAACAAATTCTGGAGAGGCTGTGGGGAGAAAGGAACCCTACTCCACTGCTAGTGGGAGTTAGATTGGTGAAACCACTGTGGAAATGAATTTGGAGATTCCTCACAAAACTAGGATTAGAAGTCCCCTTTAACCCAGCTATTCCCCTTCTGGGTATTTTCCCAGAAGAATTAAAGACATCATACCACAGCAATATAAGTGCACCCATGTTTATAACAGCACAATCTGTCATAGCTAAATCTTGGAAACAACACAGATGCCCATCCACTGAGGAACGGATAAAAAAGATGTATTTTTATACAATGGGGTATTACTCAGCTATTAAAAAAGGTAAATCCGAGGCTTTTGTGGGTAAATGGATGCAACTAGAGACCATACTCATAAGTGAAATAAAATGGAACCACATATGTAAATATCATATTATCTCCTTGATGTAGGAACCTGAAAGACTAGGTAAAACTCAAAATGTACAACAGATGATAGGAAAGGGAAAGAAATTGCTCAAAGGAAGGAATGACTGGAATGAGGGAAAGAAGAAAAAAGAAAGAAGGCAAAACATAAATATACATGTGAATAGCTGCAATGACTGTATTGCTGTTGTCTGAGGGTGTATTGAAATGAACAGTCAATGCTCACAATTTTGTATGCTCTGATCGACTTTGCATCGACTTGTGTCTGGTGGTCTGAGCAACTGAATTGAAGGTAACAATATGCAATGGAATTACAGTGGTGAACTCCTACCATCTTGTCTAGTGAAACTCTGTATTATCTCTAATGTTTTATTGAAAAATTATTTTCTTATTCTCTTTAATGGTTTGAGCAATCTTTCATTCTTACATCTGATAATGTGAGCAATGTAGTTGAGGATAGCAATATGCAATGTAACAACCACTGTTGATTTGTATTAATTTGTCCTGAGATCTTGTATCACTTTGAATGTTCTTGCTTTGATTTGTTTATGTTCATGATACTGGTATGCTGCTACTGTTCTATTTTTTTTGTTTGTTTGTGTCTTATGTACTACTCTCATTAAAATAAATAAATAAATAAATAAATAAATAAATAAATAAATAAAATAGATAAAAGCTGTTAGAGAAAAGACACACACCACCTATGAAGGAAAGCCCATCAGAATCACAGTAGACTTCTCAACACAAACCATCAAGCCAATTAAACAGAGGGAAAAAGGAGGATCCAACAGCAAGAAAATAACATGATAAAGATAAGCCAGTACATATCAGTTATAACCATCAATGTAAACAGTCTCAATTCATGAATCAAAACAAGCAGACTGGCACAGTGGATCAAGAAACAAAATCCAACTATATGTTGTATGCAAGAAACACATTTAACTCAAAAGGAAATTCACAAACTGAAAATTAAAGAATGGAAAACAATACTTCATGGGACAGGAACCCAGAAAAAAGCAGATTAGCTATTGTTTTCAGACAACATGAACTTCAAACCAAGAACAATCAAAAGAGATAAAGAAGGTCACTACATACATGGGAGGGGAAAACTTCAAGAGAAAGAGATAACAATCATAAACATCTATGCACCAAATACAGGAGCACCCAACTATATAAGATAAATTTAACAGACATGAAAAATGAAATAAGCAGCAACACAATCATAACAGGACTTTAACAACTCATTGCCACAAAGAAATAGATCAACTAGACAAAAAATCAGCAAAGAAATAATAGAACTTAACCACACTGGTAATCCCAGCACCATGGGAGGCTGAGACGAAAGGATTTCAAGTCTGAGCCCAGCCTGGGAAACTCGGTGAATTAGCAAAATTGTCTCAGTTTTAAAAATCAAAAAGGAGCCAGGGGTCTATCTCAGTTGCAAGGCCTTGGGTTCAATGCTCAGCAAAAAAAAAAAAAAAAAAAAAAAAAAAACTCCTGCAAATTTTGATCCATCACAGTAGGGTGAAAGGACCGAGACACTTTGGTTTATTATTGCTGTAATTACTGATGTCTTTCAATGTGAACCCAAAGGAAACCAACTAAGAACTAAAAATTTACAAAACTTTGATCACAGCTAATTGGAGTGCTATATGCCTCACTTAGATGTCACATTCTTTTTTTCCTGCTTGGGAAATTCTTTGCCATTACTTCTGTGAAGTGGTTTTTTCTTTAATATCATTTGCGCTATCTCCTGCCTTTTCATTGACTCAAATTAACCGTATGTTACTCTTCTTTGCATCATCTAGCAGATGCTGGATTGATTTCTCATAGTCTTGCTGTTTTGAAGAAACCTTTCTTTTCATGATCACTATCTACAATCCTGTCTTCTATACCTAAAATTCTGTCCTCATGTTGGCTCATTTTGTGTATACTTTTGATGGAATTTTTAATCTCCCAGATATGTTTAAATTTGTTTTATGGATTCTTTTTCTTTCTGATGTTGGGCATTCATGATTTCCATCATTTTCCTAAGCTCCTATTTTTTTTTAAATCTGTATCTGCTCTAGTCATTAAGCATGTTTTTCATTATAGTCACCATCTCTGTAGTTATGAGAAATTATTTTCGATTTTTTTTCTAGAGCCCTGTTCATCTGCTTTATTATTTCTGCTGTTACTACTTCAGAGAGTCCAGGTGAGTGGCTTCTGGACTGTTCTACCTCACTGCCCCGTGGGCTTGCCTTTGGTGAGCTGGAAGTCTAGGGTTGTGTCATGTTTAAGTGACTCTCATTTTCTTCCTCCTCCTCCTTTTCCTCTTCTTCTTAGTTTCATTCCTGGGTTGGTGCTTGTAAATTGCTTATGGCAAGTAGCTTTACTGCTAGTATTCAGAATTCTTAGGAAATATCTACTCGAGGTGTTTACCAGGTATAGCTAGCGTTTGCATTTTGAGTCTGCTGCAAGATACTACCTCTTCAATTTGTTGGGGATGAAAAGTTGCTGCTTACTTAGCCCAGCCCCCATTCTTTGGCACTGGCCTATAATATTTTGTATGCCCATTAGCCAATCTCAGTCTTGGTATGCCAGGAAGAACAACTGATTAGAACAATTATGTCACCTTGGCTAAAGTAGTACAACTAGCAATAACAGCATCACACACAGCCTAGAGAATGACCAACTATGATAACTATTAATTTGCCACTTTTAACCATATGAACTAGATTTGTGGTTATATAATAAAATGTAAAACAAACCAGAAAGTTGTATGCAGTAAATACGCCCCAGATATGGCAATTTTATCCTCAGGGGAGAAAACGTAAAAGGGTGAAGCCGGGAAGGGGAGGAAGGGGGAGGGGAGGTGAAGGGGAGTGGGGAGAAGGGGGAGAGGGAGGAGGAGAGATTAGAACCAAGGCAGCAGGACAAAAGAAGATCAGGAAAACTTTGGGAAACCAGTGAAGACAGGAGGGAAAGAGAGAAGGAAAAAATAAAAACAGAACAACAAAAAAAACTAGAAACTGTTCATACTCATGAAAACAAGATCAAGAAAAAAAAAATAAAGTGAGAAAAAAGAGGAAAATAAGAAAAAAGTGTCCACTTTAAGGCATATCTCTGCTCTCAGGATAGACAACGTGGGCAGACAGAGTCCAGGTCTGAACTGACTAATCCCAGCAAGCCAGCCATAGCTTTATGGTGAGTTAATCCTGGCAAGCCTACACTTTTAGTTCCACTAGAGTTCAGGCTGTTTTCTGGCTGTGATGTTGGAACTGGACTTGCTCAGCTTCCAACAATTCAGGTGCCTCCTGCCAGCTCGAATTCAGCTCCCTGACCTCCTGCCGACTTGAACTCAGCAGCCTCACACTGACACTGGCAGCCATTAGATGGCGCCAGCCCGCAGCTGTTTTGAGTTACCAGCTCAGCTAGCCCCTTGAAGATGGCTACCAGCTAACTGCCCTCTCCTGGGGGACATCTGAACCCGAGTAACTCACCAGCCACTGCAGCCCGCTGCATCCACTGCTCCATGCCACTGGTGTGTTTCTCTGTGGAACCCTCTGGAGTCACCAGTCCTGTGGGTCTGTAAGTTTGAGCCACCCCTCCCATGCAGTGAGTCCAGGCTCAGGGAGAAAGTATTGCCTGCCACCTCCTTCTTCATTTAAGTCTCTCCCTTTGCTCTCCCCATGGGCTTCAATTCTCACTTCAGATCCTCCCCAGGTCCCAGGGACCCACTTTCTTCCTTCTTCTCTTCCTCATGTTGCTATATTCCAGTCCAGACACCAACTCTCAGTGAGGCTCTTTCTCTGCCACCCCCTCCTCCACCATCTCCTGGAGTTCACAAAACTCTGAACCTATACTTCAGTCTGATACTTGACTCCCGAAATCCTTGTACCTGTTCACTAGCTTTTTCTACCCACTTTCTACTCAGCTTGGTACTGATAAGAGTTCATTTTAAAACTTTCTTCCAGAGCTGGGTGTGGTGGTGCAAGCCTGTAATCCTAGCACTTGGAAGGCTGAGGCAGGAGGACTGATGTGAGTTCAAGGCCAGTTTGGTCTACATAGCAAGACCCTGTCTCAAAAAAACCCCAGATAGACAGACAAACAAAACTTTCTTACATCCATCCATGCAATCATCTACCTGTGCAGCCACTCATCATTCATTCACCTACCTTTTCCTCAATGAATTCCATAAAAGATTGAAATAGACCCTAAATATTAACTTCTGCTACTGTCTCATCTTATTGGGCTTTATCACAAGTATTACCTTTTTATAGGAGACACTGTTTGCAGGCATAGATAAACATTTCTTAAAGTTAGTGTGGTAATAGAAAAGAGAAGCAAATGTTTAAGGGATGAGAGCACACAGCACTGGAAAATATTCATAAGCAAAATTTATTAAGGAAGGAATTTTTAGAAGATCTTTTAAATTTTTCAGAGTGCTTTATATTTATGGATTATGAAATGTTAAATTTCCAGTTGAAACTCACAACGATGCTACAAGTCAGAATTATTCACATGGAAAAAAACAAGGGTCAAGTGATTTATGCAGGGAACCCAAAATTTAGCAACTCAAGCCAGTAACTGAATTCTTCACGATGACTTTTGTACTAAGATTATTAAGCTCAGCTGCTGACTCCAATATTTGTTTCCACAGACATTATTAAGAAAGCATTTTACTTTGGCATTTTTGTAATATGGCACCATTTATAGCTGCATTCACCCATAATAACCTTATTAAACAACATCTTTAGGGCTGGCAGCACACACCATGAGGAGCTAACAGCCTGGGTACTAGTGGCTAACAGTTGAGTCATAGTTTGGGTTATGTCATATTTTTTCTTGCATTTTCTTGATTTAGAAGTTAAATCATAGTCACACTTCCAATTCAGCCAAGTTTGTATCTTTCTGACACAACACAAAATTTTAAGAAGTGTAAATGTTTCCATCTCCAAGTCCATTCTTTTATCACTCTTGGACAATAATGCAGCCAATCTAATGATTCCACCAACTTGTAATATATAATTTTTTTCCCTGTTTAGACTAAGTTCTTCCAAAGAATGATCCAATTTATGTTAGGCTGAGAGAGAATAAACCCTACGCTAAAAAGAAAACTCATATTTTTTTCTTTGTGTTGAAATACCTCAAGAATAATATAAATACTGAATTTGACCATAACTAGGCCTAAAGAAATAAGGCCCTTTTTTATTTAATGTACTTCAGAAAGTGCAAACATTTGGGAATCTCACAAAAACAAGAATGTTAGCCATAAAACAAATTTATTTCAAAAATCAACATCTTGTGTTTCAGATATACAGGTATAAGAGAAATTCCAGAAGGCAAAAGTACTTTTTTCCAGAAACTGTTCCTAGCATGGTCAATACTGATTTCGAAACTGGTTGCTTAGGTCTTGAAGTTCTGTTACCAAGGCATCCATAGCTGCTATGTCATCTGCTAACTCACTGGAAATTTCTCCACTTGTCACATCTGTAAAATGTTGCTGTAACATTAAAAGTAAAGTTTAATCATCAAAACAATGAAAATTCCTTTAAAATGAAAGGTACAGTACAGAATTAAAATGCCCTTTGCATAATAATATTACAGTAGCACTAACAGTATTTGTTTGCTCACCACCATGGAAATGTGCAATAAATGTGTAATAATTAAACAATGAATCAAAACAACACGTCTGAACTTATAAGTTCAGATGAGTTCTGTTCTGCAAAGCAGTTGCCCTAAATATTTGGTTAGTTATTTCAGTGTTATACAGTGGTTTGGGGATGAATGGACACCATTCATCCCAACAGAAATCTATTCATTGTGTATACACACAAAACAAATTTTTCTGGGGGTACCGGGAATCAAACTCAGGACCTGTGCTTGCCAGGCAGGCATTTTGCTGCTGAGCTATATCCTTGGCCCACAAAACAAGTATTTTTATATTTTAATTTATATAAATTATACCTTTTATTACTTATTTGAAAATTAATTTTCACATAAGCCTCAGAGACTACAAAGATTATCAAAATTTGGTAAAGGTGAAAAACTCAACAAAATAAAATACAAACAAATGTGTGCTTCCCCCTGGGAAGCAACATACTTCAATAATGCTAACTATACCTGAAGCCATTTTGGAATGCCTTTCTAGGAACTGCTTTCTGAGCCAGTACAGGTACCCAAGAAAATCAGCTTCAGGACTTTATGACCATATTTTGTGTGTGTGTATCACATACGTGACTATATGTGTGTTTTAGTCAGAAACATAATTTATTTAGCTTTCCATATATCTTCTGCCTCAGACTTCACTAGATGATTTGTGTAGCTTTTCATAAAAGAATGACATAAAACCTGTTGAATGTGATCAATGGAGAAAACACCTTTTAAGAAAATAACCTGCACTCATACAGCATATTTTTAAACTAATATCAACACTGCTTGCAAATTCTAATGAATCTGCATCACTTCCCTGTGAAGTAAGACGGAAGCAGAAAGAAACTGAGGCTTAGAAAGAATGAATAATTCCCTGAGCGTAAGAGGTAAACTCTGCTCTCGCGCTCTCTCTCTCCCCAGGGTTTCTGTCTCCAGGCTCCCTGGCCTCCACCCAACAGCCCTCATGCCACTCTTGGACCAAACCCATAGAAAGACAGTGTGCTAACTAAGGGCAGAGGAGGGTCTCTGCCCTGGGACACAGACCGGATGGCCTGTCTATTTAAATTTCTTACAGCTTTAGGGTTTATGTGTGCTTGTTAATAAAGCATTTCTTTGTTTAACAGGAAAGACTAGTTCTAGGAGTTTATTTCCATGAAGTCCCTGGCCCAGCAAGAAAACACCAGAGATTTGTGTAAACCAAGCCTACTGCAAGCTACTTAACACAGTTATTTCAATTCACTTTCTTTTTCAAAAGTATTTTTTTCAAGTGGGTTTTTGAAATGCAAATCAGCTTAGCAAATCTAATTCAAAAAACATAAAAGGTATATAATCTACTACAAAACCAGAGTCTCCAAAATGTTATTTGCAAAAAGGTGCTTTGCATTCAGAGGCAAATCCCTCCCCTGCTTTTTTTGGATGATCCAGTTGGGATCTAATGAGAACAAAATCTAAATGTAAGTGATGTTCTGATGAGGTTTACCATTTTTAATATATCAGAATCTACCACAGAAAAGGATGTGCAATACTAGTGCAGACAATATTATTTAAGTAAAGCAAGTGCAAATTTATGTAAAAATAGTAACTTACAAGAAAAAGCTTTGCAGACATATAAGGGAAATGGAGGACTATATCTGCAGAGATAAACAATTGTGGGTGGCTTTGTTATTTAATCAAAAGTAGGAAACATAGCTCCCAATTTGGAAAGATAAGACAGAAAAGCTGACTTGACTTTCTATAAAAAAGTTCTTGCCAGGTGTGCCACATGCCTATAATCCCAGCACTCAGGAGGCTGATGCAGGAGGACTGCTGAGAGTTTGAGGCCAACCTGGGCTACAAAGTTAGTTCAAAGCCATCTTGAACTACATAGTGAGACTCTATCCCCAAAAAAAAAAAAAGTTCTTGCAGACTTCTGATACACATAGTTCTGAAGTTGTGCTGTCAAGCTGCAAGGAAATATAGTTCAGCTAAATAGGGAAGGAAAGAAGTTAATTCTCTACAGAGGAAAGATGATGCCTTAATCTGCAAAGATCAAACAGGGAACCAAAAAACCACACTCTGGAAACCTTTTATAGAGTAAAATGGTGTCCAGAAGTCGCTTCTACGTGTCACAGACTTCTCAAAAATGAATCAATCTGAGTAACCAATCTGACAACAACAATATGTAATACAACAATCATTATAAATTTCCTATCACCTTGTTTGAAATTCTGTATCGTTTTTATTGTTTTTGTGTTATGTCTTTGTTTTTTTAAATTGTTTTTTGTTCTTTTCTCTTTAAAATTAAAAAAAATGAATCAAAATTGATTTGCAATCTAACACTGAATGGTGAAAGTTAAGAGAAGAAAGTATTAAGTTGTGCTATAACTTATAGTCCTTTAAATTTTTCTTCCAGAGGTATAATCCAAACCCAACCGCATGAATTTAACAGGTTTCCCAAGCTCCGCCCGAGAGCTGAGTCTACCTCCATCACAAAGGCCAAGAGTGCAGTCTTCAGGGATGCTCCCAGGGTGATTCGTGATGCCTCCACCCAGCACTAGTCCCCAGGATGTCACTGTGAGCACCTGGTAAATTTCAGCTGTCAAACCTGAGTCTATCTGAGCAATCTTTTTGCCAAATTCATACCTCACCTACTTAACATACTTAGCTTAATCAGTTTTTACTTACATAAAAGAAAACACTATATCACTATTGTTGATGAGCAACAAGCAATAGTATTCATGAAACTGTAGGTTTGAAGGGCTGGTTATACTCTCTCTAATATGCACTGAAATAAGTATGTTTTAAAATCAAAAGTTTACCCAAGTGCCAATGGTGGCATGTATGTCACACACTGGGTAAAACAGTAATAAATAGAAGAGTACTGTTCCAAACATTAAGTTCCAAGGCTTCTAAATTGCTCATGTTTAGGATAATTTAACCATAGGGCCAGTAACAACCTTATCAGCACCACCAACCAGATGAAGGATGTTATATAAAATATAATGTAGGCCTAAAATTACCGCTGCTGACAAAAGAAGATTCAAGAAATAAGTGGGCACTAATATCATTTTACTATGTGATAATTTTAATTAATTCACATCACACTCACCTTTGCCTTAGATAATAAACCCCGTAAATTGAGTCGAACTGAGGAAAGCACCTGCACGGCTTCTTGAGGATTAGGTTTGTTTTCAATGCATTTTATAGCCACTGCAAGACAAATATGGGGAAAACATCCATTAAGAATCGGTAGTAATTTATAGCTACAAAAACCAACTATTTAATTATAATTTTATAGTAACTGACTTTAGAAACAATTAACCTAGAAAGTTTCCATTCTCTTCTAAATTCTTCCTTCATCTCCCTCCCCACACCCAGTGGTGGGCATTAGACCCAGGACCTTACACATACGAGGCAAGTGCTCTACCATTGAGCTACATACACTGCAGCCTCACTTTTACCCTCATGGAAGAAGGTTATTGCTATGGAGAATCTGGAGGAAAACAGATTTTGTTTGTCTTTGGTGAGCTGCAGATCATCAGGTAGAGACCTTAAGACATGTGCGTGTGTATGTGCGTGCGTGCGCGCGTATGGGTGTGTGTGTGTATGCAGAGACTAATGAGATTATGCAAAGAGATAAAAATCTCTTTGAAAAAACGGTACCCACAAAGGACAAAAACAAATGCAGCACATCTTCGCGGGGCTTTCCATGGTACTAAGTCCTTAACAGGGACTCACAGTTGCTGATGACACTAGCCCAAGAAAGTGACATGCCAGATATGTAGGGCTCAACGCACTGGCATACTCAGTGTTTATAGCACCATTCCAGAAGACTTGGTACCCACAAGCTATGTGTTTTCACGCAAGGAATGTGACCACAACCAGGCACTAGGGTTCCTAAGCCACACCCAGCATCAGCAGGCTGGGTATGAGAATGAAGCCACGCATTCCAGACAACTCTGCCTCCCGCATCCTAGGGAACCCATTTCCCTAAACTATTTTTTTTCCATTTTTATGTTTTATTAGCATACGTTTGCAGCATATAATCATTACTTCCTCGTGAGTTGGTTCACGGCCATAACACATTTTAATTCTTTTCATCCCCTTCCCCTTCCCTTTCTTCCTCCTCCCTGTTCCCTCCCTGGCAAAAGTTTTATTATTAATTAGTAATATCTTCCCTGGCCAGAATTAGATTTGCTATTCCTATTTCAGAAAAACAATTAGACTTTGAAATTTTGTAGCAAAATGGTTGTTCCATCTGTTGGTCCCCTTCCCAACTGAAAAAGATCAATCTTCCTATTATTACCTGTCTTTCATTTTGCTCTTTATGTTTTGGGTTTCTCATATAAGAGAAACCATATAACATTTAAACTTGTGTCTCTCATTTATTTCACTTAATATTATGGTCCCAAGGTGCATTCATTTTCCTACAAATGACTCAAGTTTAGTTTTCTCTATGGCAGAGCAGAACTCTATTGTGTTTGCATACCACACTTTCTATATCCATTCATCTACTGATGGACATATAGGCTGCTTGCAATATTTAGGTATTATGTATTGTGCTGCTATAAACATGAGTACGCATGTATCACTGTAATATGATGTATTTAACTCTTTTGGGAAAATACCTAGAAAGGGAATGAATTTCTAGTTTTAGTTTTTTGGGTTTTTTTTTCCTGCCTCTTTGAGACAGGGCTTCACTATGCATTTCAGGCTAGCCTTGAACTCACTTTGTAGCCCAGGCTGGCCTTGAACTCACAGGGATCCTTCTGCCTCAGCTTCCCAAGTGCTGGGATTACAGGCGTGCACCACCACATGTGGCCTAGTTTTTAGCTTTCTGAGGACTCTCCACACTGATTTCCATAGTGGTTATACTAGTAGAAGGCCCAACCACTGATGCTTTGAGAGCAAGTAAAAAGTTCTGTAAAAACCACTAGTTTGTGCTTATTTTTGTCCCCTAAAATCATGTGAACTAAATTCCAGCACACTGATAACCAGATCCTATTTTTAAAGTACACTAAAGAGCGCTGCATGAAGACACACCCTGTAATTCCAGCCTCCTGAGAGGCTGAGGCAGGAGAACTGCAAGTTCAGGCCGTGCCTGGGCAAATTAGGGACTTAGTGAGACCTCAAAATAAACAAGGGTTTTAATTTGCATTTCTCAAATGACTAATGATGTTGAACATATTTTCATATATTTATTCGCCAATAGTATTTCTTCCTCTGAGAAGTGTGTGTTCATCTCAGATGCTCATTTTTAGACTGGGTCTTTGAATTTGGGGGCCTGATTTTTTTTAATTCTTTATATGTTCTAGATAGGACTCCTTTGTCTGAGGGGCAGTTGAATAAAATTTTTTCCCAATTCGTGGGTTTTCTTTTTACTTTATTGGTGATTTCTTTAGATGTGCAGAAACTTTTCAATAAGATGAGATCCCAGCTATTGATTCATTGAAGTATTTCCCATGCAGTTTGTTCGCAAACTCTCTGCCTACCCCTATGTCTTTGAGAGTTTTACCTACTTTCTCTTCCAGTAGGTTTAGTGTTTCTGTTTTGATATTTAGATCTCTGATCCATTTTGACTTTAGTTTAGTGCATGGTGATAGACATGGGTTTAGTTTTAGTCTTCGGCACGTGGAAAGCCAGGTTTTCCAGCACCATTTGTTAAAAAAGCTATCTTTCTTCCAGTGAACATGTTTGGCCCCAATGAACAACACTGAGATTTCATCTCACCCCACAAAGAATGGCTATCATTAAGAAATCAAACAATGACAAATGCTGGAGAGGCTGTGGGGAAAAAGGAACCCTTCTCCACTGCTGGTGGGAGTGTCTATTGTTGAAAGCACTGTGGAAATCAGTCTGGAGATTCCTCAGAAAACTAGGATTAGAGGTCCCACTTAACCCAGCTATTCCCCTTCTGGGTATTTTTCCAGAAAAATTAGAAGTGTCATACCACAGAAATGTATGTGCACCCATGTTTATAGCAGCACAATTTGTCATAGCTAAATCTTGGAAACAACCCAAATGTCTATCAACTGAGGAATGGATAATAAAGATGTGGTATTTCTATACAATGGAGTATTACTCAGCTATAAGAAAGATAGAACTTGAGGGTTTTGTAGGTAAATGGATGCAACTGGAGACCATACTCATAAGTGAAATAAATAGGGCCCACATGTGTAAACATCACATTGTCTCCCTGGTGTAAGAACATGAAAGAGTAAATAAAACCCAAAATGTACAATAGATAATAAGAAAGGGAAGGAAATTGCTCAAAGGATGGAATAAATGAGATGACGGGAAAAAGAAAAAGAAAGTACTAAGGCATTTATATATTACGCATCGGTGGCATAACTGTACTGTTGGTGTCTGATGGTTTGTTGAGGGGAACAGTTAATGATTAAAAGGTTTTTTTAAATATGTTGACCAATTTTGCATGCTTGTATCTGGTAATCTGAGTAACTGATTTGAAGACAACAATATGCAATGGAAGAACCATTGGTGAATTGCTACAGTCTTGCCTAGTGAAACTATGTACTGTTTCTAATGTTCTTTTAAATTATTATTTTCTTATTCCCTTTAATGATTTGATCAATCTTCTACTTTTACATCTGGTAATCTCTGAGCAATTTCACTGAAGATAACAATATGTAATATAACAACCACTGTTAATCTCTATCATTTGGTTTGAAACCCTGTATCATTTTTAATGTCTTTGCTTTGTGTTATATTTTGCTATTGTTCTTTTTTTGGTACTATTTTCTTTAAAATAAAAAAAAATTTTAAAATAAAAATAAAAAATAAAGAAGGGTTGAAGATGTAGATTAGCATGAAGTCTCCATGAAGTGTAGCTTATAGTTCAATCCTCGATACTCCCATCACCAAAAGTACACTGAACAAAGCCGTGATTAAGGGCTGTTCCTTCCCTAGCTCAGGGATGGCGAACCTTTCAGAACTTTCAACGATAAACAGCTCACTGCAGCACATAAGCCATAGATTTGCCACCACTGCCCTAGATCATGGAAAACATCTAATCAATTGCTAGAGGCTGCCAGTGCCTAGCAAAATAGTGTTTTTTTTGGTACCAGGAATTGAACTCAGGACCTTGTGTTTGCCAGGCAGGTGCTGTGCCACTGAGCTATATCCCTGGCCCAATAGTTTTATTATTAATTAATAATATCTTCCCTGGCCAGAATTAGATTTGACATTTCTATTTCAGAATAACAATTAGATTTTCAAATTTTGTAGCAAAATGGTTGAAAGGGTATGTGGTAATTAGCAACATTAATCCCATTTTCAGAGGGTTCAGGGGGCCCAGAGAAAATAAGGACTTTGAAATCTGTTTCTCTGAAAGTTGGAAATACCAGGGTAGAGGCATATGGGCTGTTTAACACCTAGCAGCTTACATAAGGAATAGCTGTGATTCTTTTCTTAATCTTTTGTTTTCACTCTGAAAAAATACAAGAAAAAGATACATGCTCTAGTAGTTCTCTCCTTGGTCCATTTCCAAAAGGCATTAAAGATAGAGGAAGAGGGAAAAAGAGAGGGAGGGTGAAAAAGAAATAACCTGCTATTCCAAATCATCAGGAAATCCAAGAGACAGTATCTCCTCTCTACACAGACCATTATTTCAAAAGTTCTAAGATGGCAAGGAACAAGGGCTTTTGTCCACCCTTTCCCAGAAAATAGCATCACAGAAACTGTAAATAAATACCCTCCAGACAATGCAGATGGCACACAATGCTAGCACTGTTAATGAGGGGTCTCAAATATTGTGTTGAGACTACAAGATATTCTCGAAATTGCTGACCGGCATAGCTACTATTCCCAACAGCAATCAACAGGGAGCACAGATTTTAAATGTGTTGTATTTCCTTTTCAGAATTGGGTGGGATAGAGGCACAGTACTGGGGACAAAAAAAAGAGAACAGAATAAGAGAAAATCCAGCTCACTGACTCAATGTTGCTATACAAATGCAACCAATAACCTAAAAAGAACAAATGCAACAAAAACAAGGTTAAGATTTATGTACCTTTATAAATCTAAAGCATCAGGTGGCACACAGCTCCAATGCCAGCTACTAGGAGACTGAGATAGGAAGAGTCCAAGTCTGAGTTGAGACTTGGCAACGCAGTGAGACACTGTCTCGATTTAAAAGAACTGGGGATGTAGCTCAGGGGTAAAGCACTTGCTTGCCATGTGCAGAGCCTTGTGTTCAATCCCCAGCACTACAATCAATCAATCAATCAATCAATCAAAAGTGTCCTTAGAAACCAAAACTGAGCATTGACTCACACACGCTTCAAAAGCAGGAGCAGCAACATGTAATTCATCAAAGTCGAAGAAGAACTTCAAATAAGAGACCCTTGTTTTTCTCTACGTGCTGCCCTGTCGGAAAACTGATGCCAGTAACAATTTAAATTGAATTTTAAGCTGCAAAATGATGATTCTTCCTGAAGTATTTCTTTAACCTGCATATTTACAGTTGACAGGTTTAACATCAGTACTTGGTGATTATAGAAAACATGTTGGCTCTGACAGTTACAGAGCAAGCAGTTCACAGGAAAGTTCAGAGTCCACAAGTAGATAAGCAGATAAGATAAATTCTTGAGAGTAAATCCCACCCTGCTAATTATGTACATTATACACCTTAGTGTGGGTTTCCCCAAACATAACACTATATACACAAAGGCCAAAGGTAAGAGGCCTGAACCCCCTCTGAGACCACCCTCCAGAAAGCCGGCACACATGAATTCTAGCCACTCCTAAAACATCCTTCCACTAATCAGCAGTTACCTCTACCTTTTCTACACAGAATTTCAGCTGGATAAGAGTTCAGCACCTTACCCAGCACGTGCCAGTGGCCAGGTGGTCCAGGAAACTGGATATGTATATTCTTTTTGGTCAAAGATATCAAAGGCCGTAAGTAGAATCATTAACCACCAAGGCCTTTTCTAAACTATCAGAATGTTCTGTGCCTCCTCAATAAGAAAGTTAAACTTTATCCTTGTTCTTCACTTTTCCCTTTTTAGTTTTGAGTTCCTTATCATATATTCCAAATCTTCCACTTCAGAAGACAGAGCATGGGGGTGGGAGGGTGAGGAGTTAACATTTAAACCATGTGAAAAATATTAAGTATTTAAATTATCTCACTTATTCTTCCTAATAATCATAGGTAGGTATTATCTTCATTTTACCTAAACTATATTAAGGCTCAAAGAAGTTAAATAACTGACTCAGTCACACAGGAAGCACAGACCGGAGCTGACCCTGGAGCTTTGCGCTCCTGATCCTACGTTCCTTCACGGCTCCCTGTTTGCTGTCACTATTAGTGGCAAGCAGAAACCAGGCAGAGAAGTTGGAGAACGTCGGGATGGGTCCATAGTCCTTGTGACTCAGTTTTTAACACTGGGGTTATTTCATGAGAACCATATTCCCAGGACAACATACACCCATATTCAAATATAAAAATGCATTACTATACTTAACTGGCATTTTTTCATTAATACAAATAATTAAAAGTTGTCTTTATCTGCACTGTATTTACCCAACAGGCAAACAATTCTGTATGTAAATTCATTCTCCTTCAAATTACATTCTCTAATTTCCCAAGGATAGGGACTAGCTGGTATTTTGTATTTCTGTTGTGTACAGCATAGCTCTTTTCTATAGCTATATCCTCCAGAGACCTACATATTTTTATAAATATTTTTATTTACAAAGGAATAATAGGAGTCAAGAAAAAGTTAACAGATTTCCTTAATACTACATAATCAACACAGACTACGTGGGATGAAGGCTATTCACAGTTCTAAAGGTATTTTATCTCTCTAAAAGTTTCTGATTCCTGTTATTTACTCAAACAGTCCTGGAGCCTCTTTCCTGTTTCCTCCTACTGCTCCACAGTACCTGCTTCATAGTAACTGTGTATGTCTCCTGAATCAAAAATAACAGTTTCAGTATAACAAAGTAATTAAAATTTTTTGTAATGGAACTTGACTTTTTACTACCCCTTTTTTAATCATAAAAAATACATTAAAATATGCCACATATAGCAAATACCATGTGCAAGCCCTAATGCCTTTTGAACGACTTCCTTAAATGATGCAGTATCTTTCTCCCAACAATTGGACTGTGTGTCGCATTTATATGCCTTTGAGAGATACTGGAATGCCTGAGGAGAGAGAAAAAACAACATTCAGAAGAACAAGTAGAATTCACATTTCAAACTTTTTCCTGGAAGTCATGTGGAACTAATTCCAACTTGAAAGACCAGCTGTGCAGCATGGTCTCCATTACTCTCATCAAAGGAGGGGTAGGGATGCAAACTAAATAGCAATAAGCAATGATAGGAAATCGATGGATGCATCTGGACAGACATCCCTCCATAACCAAACAATGTAAGGCGAAGCTTGGACATCTATGAGAAGGGTACAGATTTTACAGTCAAAACAATTTTGAGGCCTGAATTTGGTGAAAACTAAGGACCTGCAGGTGGGAATGTAACTGCACAAAAGTTGGAAACACTCTTTTCATATCCTTACAAATTCTTAATGGGGAAGTCATAGATCAGGGAATTCAGAGTACTGTTAGCTGTGTATCTGCAAGAGAGTACGTAATTCAAGAAGAAATGGAGGCAGAATGTAGGCATGTGTGCATGCACGTGTGCTTGTGAAACGTGTTCTTGGGCTGACGAGGCAATGGTAGAACCCAGGTGTGGACCAGAGGAGGAGAGAATGCTAAGAATCCCACAGATGAGCGGAACCATGGCTAATTCCAAATCCACGCAAGAAGTACATTTGATTTGTTGTGGATGTTTTGAAAAGAAACACAAAGAAATTATTCCAACCTTGGAAATTCTGGGGGCTCCTTTAGGTCAGGAGATAGAGGCTGAGGCACAACTGAGCGTAACAGGCGTTCTGACGCCTTTGTGATCTGAAGGGTCAGGATGAACTTTGCAAGGCGTTACATGCTCAGGCTTTCAACGTCCTCCAGCCATCCTCCGTAGTTCCTTTTCCTTTTTCCCTTTCATAGCCCCTATTTCAAACCTACTCATCCTGTGCTTGTCCCCAGTCTACCTCAGTTGCTAGCAAGGAGCTACAGAAGGGGGTGTAAAGGACGAGAGCCACCTGCTTGCTTCAGAGCCAGCAGGGCTAGCAGGTTAGAGACGCCTTTGCAGGAAACAGAAAGCAACTATATCAGAAAAATTCATAAAAATTAAAAACAGAAAGTTCTAAGTTTTAACCTGCCCATAATTTAAAGTGCTTATGTTAAACACAGAATCAAAACACTGACTTTGACCATATTAATTCTGTCTTTCAGATTACTGAACTCTTCTTCCACCCATCAAAACAGATACTGCACATGTCCAGCAAAAGGCTCGGGCCCAGGAGGCTGAAGGACCTACCTTCTTGTTCTCCTCGGGCTTTGCACTCTGCCCATTCCCACACACTTGGGCGTACAGCCTCCAGATTTCACCGTCATTGGTCACTCTTGAAGTTACTCTGCCAAACAATTCCTGTAGCTTTCCTTTGAGGCCAGAGGCAACATCTCCACTTCGATCAGTCATTCCATCAGTCACTGCCCTGACCAGAATTTTAAGGACCTTAATAAAAATGTACAGAAGAAATGGGTGAGCTAGAAACCACCAAACAGTAAGAAACAAAGAGCTACCCAAGAACCCCCAGCAGCGGTACTGCCCTGGAGCGACTCAGAAGTGCAGAATCCTAGGTTAGGATGTTGAGGCAGGGCTGCAAGTTCGAGCCTACTCTGGGCAACTTAGTGACTTAGCAAGACCCCCCAATTTAAAAATTTTTAAAAATCCAAGGCTGTAGGTCAGTGTGTAGGCTCTGAGTTCAATCCCCAGCACACAAAAAAAATCCTGGACAATGAGTAAAATGTGAGTCAAGCCATCCTGAACTACTCTCTAGAACTGCTACAACTGCACACTGCCTACCTCTGCCTCTCTTGGTGCCCCTGCTCAGGCTCCTGTGGGTTCTTTTTAATCTACTTACAGCAGATGTTTGCGGTGCATAACATTCACACTCAGCTCAGGAAGCAGTTACATGTACTTAACGGATCCTCACTCTTTTTCTTCCCCTTCCTCTGCCCTCACTCCCCACTCTCTCCATCGCTAGTTTCCCTTCCCATTTGCAAAACATCGATCTCCCTGCTTCCTACTGTCTCTTTTATTTTTGTTTTTAAAATTACTCATACTTGGGGGAGAGGCCACATGACATCACCTTGTACCACCTGCATCTAACACAGTGTCTGGCACACAGCACTGACTCAATAAATTCTTGTGGCTGAGAGACTGAACAAATAGACCTCGTTCAGGAAGTACAGAGAAAAGCAACCAGTGTGACACTTCACTCTGCCTCCTCATAGAGCATTCGATCCACACGTGAAATGTGGCCAAGGAATCCAGGTTCCTCAGATACAAACGCAAACACTTTTAGGAATGCGAGCTCAGGAGCTAGGGGTATGACTCGGTGACAGAATGTGTGCTTAGCATGCACAAGGTCTGGAGTTTGATTCCCAGCACTCCCCCGCCAAAAAAAGAAAAACGTATGTGAGCTCAGATTTATTAGGTCCTAATTATATACACAGCAAAAGGGCTCAGGAGAGCATTCGATTGTGCTTTTCTTTCTTGTTTGAACATAATGCCTTATTCTGCCTGTAAACTCAAAATATAATTCCACATGTGTTGTATCTAAAGGTAACAAAATTCATATTACAAACCCATTTGTGGCTTTAAATCTGGAAGTAACAATGCTGAACGAACAGTATGAAGGGGGAGAAAAGGGTACAATGGAAAGAAAGCTTTGTAAGTGAGAAAAGGAAGAGGGGCTGACAGAGGGAATGGGAATGGGGAAGAAAAGAGGAACTAAGACGTCATGCACAGGTACAAACTCCCCATGATGAGTGTGATCACTATGCATAACTAAATTGTACCAATAAATTTAAGTTTAAAAAAAATTTTAAAAAGAAACAGTATGAAGATATACTTCTTTTTTGAAGTGGTCATTCTATAAAGCATTTCAACATGTTTTAAAAGGGATGGTCTGGGGCTGGGGATTTAGCTCAGCGGCAGAAGCGCCTGCCTGGCAAGCGCAAGGTCGTGAGTTCGGTTCCCGGTACCGGAGAAAAACCAAAAAAAAAATAAAAGGGATGGTCTGTTAAAATAGCTACTACCATGTACAAAGAGATACACTAAATTAGTAAAACACTTTACTGCTTTTGGGATCTCAGAGGCGGTTCAATTAGCACACTCCCTCAGTTTAGCCAAATTGAGGAGACAATGAGGGAGAGAATGCTTTTAATCCTCTTGCCACTAAGAATTCAAATCTGGACTCCTGGAATTTGAGCAGCAAACACTTTTCCTTTTTTCCCCTTTTTTATTGATAGATGTTTGTGATGCATAATTTTTACATTTGTTTTAGGGGCTTGATACATACGCATGTCATATCTTCATCATTTTTTATTCCTTTCCTCCTTTACCCTTCCCCTGCCGTCTGATCCCATCCCTCAATTACAAAATAGTCTGCCTCCATTTCCTACCATCTTTTCTTTACTCTTTATTTATAATTTGGGTTTCTCATATACAAGAAACCATGTGATGTTTAAGGTTCTGTGCTGACTTATTTAACATTACCATCCATTTTCTTACAAACGACATCAATTCATTCTTCTTTTTTATGAATTCATTCTTATGGCTGGGTAAAATTCCATTTACATATGTACTCGTCTGATTGACGGACTGATTGGGATCTAGACTATTTCCACAGCTTAGCTATTGTGAATTGTGCTGCTATAAACATGGGCATGTATGTGTCACTAAAGTAGGATGCCTTTACCTCTTCTGGGAATATACCCAAAAGAGGAAAAGCTTGGTGATGTGCGTGTCCCAGTATGCCTGCTGGAGTGCGACTTGGGGGTGAAGAGAAGTATAGGGAGGTAAAGTCTTTCGGGAGGGAGAGAGGGAAGGGAGCTGTAGGGAGAAAAGATACAGAACTGCCTCTTCCCAGTTCATATGCAGATACCATATGGCGTGAGGGGTGATGCGCAGGGATACTCAGTTTGTCCTTTTACTCTATCTGCATGTCAATGGCCTGTTAAATAGACAGATCTGGACTTAGAAAAGAGTATATGGGCAGAATAAACAATGACAGTCATTTATGGTCACAGCAGATCTTACTTAGGGACTATGTTGGTAAGGATAAGGCTGAGGATTGACTCTGAAGGAACACAACATTTGAGAGGAGCACAAATAAATGAAATCCACTAATGGGACAAAAAGGAGTGGCCAGAAAGGGGGTGAGGGCGACGTCATGGAAACCAAGAAAGGAGAGTCACAAAGAGAGGACATCTGCAAAAGATCACAACTGGAGGATTCCACTGGATTGGGCAAGCATAAGGATTAGTAACTATATCCAGAAGCACAGCGAGAACAGGAGGGCAGGAGAGACCAAGACTGGAGACAAGAGGTTTACAGAGAGAAACACATGGAAACCAAGACAGCAGTTAATATCACGGAAAACAAAGATCAAAAAGCAAAAATCCCCTTACGATATCTTAACACTCAATTTGAATGCCTGGCCTTTCCTTGTGTACCTCTGTGCAGGCCCCCTCTGCTGCAACAGACAGCTTCCAATGAGGTGCTGGATCCATTCCCCTACCTCTGTCAATACCATTACTCTCTTAGTCAGGTCTACTGCTGCTGTCTCCCTGAAAGGGGACATGAAAGTTGTGGCAGGCTGCATGGTGTCCTCCTAAAATTCCTGACCACCCAAAACCTCATGATGTGACTTTATTTGGAAATAGGGTCTCTGCAGATGTAATTAGTTACAATGAGGTCATGTTGGACTAGGGTGTGGGCCCTAAATCCAGTGACAAGGTCTGAAAGTCATTCCAGTGGCTTCTTCCTACAAGAAGAAAACACACAGACACACAGATGAGATGGAGCTGGAACACCCACACAAGCCAAGGAATGCCAGAGACCACTAGAAGCGGGAAGAAAAGACCACCAGAAGCGGGAAGAGGCAAGGAAGGATGCTTCACTAGAGTCTTTAGGGGGACATGGTGAATCAACACTTGGCTTTTGGGCTTCCAGAACTGAAGGAAGAGAAAACATTTTTGTTTTAAGGCACTAAGTTTGTGGGAATTTATTTCAGCAGCACTAGGAAACTAATATAGCAGCTGTTAACTATAAAGAGCAAGAAAACACTTAAACACATCAAAATAAAGTCTCTCTAGGCATTCACCTGGCTTCCAGTACTCATCTTCTGGTTTCGGTTCAGGAAGCAATAAATAAATGGATGTCACTGCACAACCTGTCCCTTCTGTAGCTGGTGACTCCCCAGTGGAACCTCCCTTACTGGTCAAAAATCAGGATTTCCTCTGAGAAGAAATTTTAAATATCTACTCTCTTGACCTCTTCCTTAGTAAAATATGATTTTTGTGTCACAATAAGACATGTTGTCTCTACCTCTAAGCTGATAAAGTACTTACCATACTTTACCCTTTGATTTATTTCACTGGTTTCCTTTCCTTTCCTATTTATTATTATTACTAATAGTAGTAGTAGTAGGTGTGTGTGTGTGTGTGTGTGTGTGTGTGTGTGTGTGTGTAAGTAACTGAGTCTAGGGTCTCACAAGTACTCCTTCACTGAGGTAAATCCCAGACCTTTTAAAAATTTTATTTTGAGACATGGTCTTGCTGAGGATAGCCTCAAACTTTCTGTCACCCTGCCTCAGTCTCCCTAGTAGCTGGGAGTAACTAGGCTTACAGGCGTGTGCCACATCTAAGTGATGTCACATTTTTGATGATGATGATGACAATGACAATGACCATGGCAGCTACATTTAAATAGCATTTGTATGTACCAGGCACAGTACCACGCCTTTCACATGTATTAACTCACTTACTCCCCAGAATGATCTTGCGAGGCAGGTAGTGAGCATCCCTATTTTATGAAACTGAGGCACAAAGTGATTACATAACTCATCCAAGGTCACGCAGCTCATAACCAGCAAAACTGTGAGGCAAACCCACCCTGTCCGACTCCAGAGTGTACACTCTTATCCGCAGTGTAATTCTGCTTCTCAAGAGGTTCTGAAATATTTTCTCCATCTGAATTTATTTTGGTTTAGAAAGTGAGGCAGACCTTTAGCTTTTGGCGCTGAATGTTTAGCCAACTCTTCTAATAGTACTGAATATTCTATTTTTATCTCACAGATTTAGAATGTCATTACTATCATGCACTAAATTCTCATACTAACTTGAATCTATACATTTCTATTTCATTCCTATAGCAGATATTAACTCTTTACAGAATAAGGATAATATTAGACTTTTGTCTTCCCTATTATAAATATTTTGTCACAAGAGTTTTTTAATATGGTCATAAAAATTCCTTCCCATTTTCTTCTGCTTCAGAGTTCAAGAACTTTGCTAAGTACCCACTTCCATTCATAGTTTTTCTATGACATAAAAATATTAGGCATATATCTAATCCATTTACAATTCACTTGGTGTACCATAAAGTAATCTAAATAAAATTTTAAAGCCTGGATAGTTAAAGAGGTTTTATTCCAGTTTATTATA